GTGTCAGTGCTGTCAAACTGACAACCAGGTATCTGTGTGTGCAACAATCATCATCTACAGCCTCAGAGTGAACATGTTCTACTGCTGGAGACACCATCAGCCAGGAGCAGCTGGTTTGTGTCCAGAGAAAACAGACATGTTGATGTTTCTGAAGAAAAACTGTTCAGTGGAAAGGTCCTCAGTGTGTAGCAGTGAGCATTAGACACTGACGTGTCACTGGTTTGTAACTGGTCTTTTGACCTGGAAATTATTTGTTTATTTTTATGTCAGAAAACTGCTTGGAATGAAAAAATACCAAAGTTAAAAAATAAAATTCACAAATTGTACTGTAATTCTCTTCTTGTTAGAATTAATATTTGTATTATATTATATATTAATATTTTGGGGAGTGGTGGCACAGAGGTTAGAGAGGTGGGCTTGTGATCCGAAGATCGCCGGTTCACGCCCCGGCCCCGACAACATCAAAAATTGTGGGTGGGGTAGGTGAAACACCCACACTTGCCCCCACCCTCATTCGCCCCACTCTGGGCCCATGAGCAAGGCCCTTAACCCCCACCATGTGCTCCCTAAACAGGTCTCTCTTGAAAATGAGTTCTTGTGGCTCAATGAGACTAACCTGTATAAATAAAGGCTAAATGAAAAAAAAAAAAAAAAAAAAAATTAATTGATTTTGTTTTAAACAAGGGGCAGATATAAGATTTTTTCTTCTTCTGCTACCTTTCATTTTATGACGTGTTTTTTTTTCTCTCATTTGGTTTCTAAATTGTTTTTGTGTTTTAAATATGAAATGAATAAAAATGACAAACAAACAAACAAATATTAATTACAATAATTAGTACCGAACAAAGAACCGTCCAGGAACCGACACAGAAGTGAAGGTACCAACACCAAATTTTTTAGAAAGGTACCCAGCCCTAATCTGAGGAAGCGTTAAGTCCTCGCGTCTCCTCTTAAGACTTGTTAACCTCGACTCTCTCCTCTTTCAGTACCGTCATCGTGTCCAAAGGCGGTAAATGGCGACCGGCAGCAGCTCGACGAAACACTGTAGACGACAAAAGCACTCTGACCCGGGTGGAAAACGGAGATCTCAGCAATGCTACCAATACCTGTTCAGGTGAGTGAAGCAGTATTTTAGTGATGTTATCCATGGATGCATGAACCAGCATGGCTTCTTCTTCTTCTTCTCATACAGACACTGATTATACTTGTACACCTCTTTTAGTATACTAATACTGCCAGTGACACATTAATAATAACTTTCTGCTCATGTGTTGCGTGAGACACCGGAGGCATTAATCTGAGCAAAGTGTCCTGATGACCGTTCATTAGGGCTGGGCGATATGGACCAAAATTAATATCTCGATATTTGAAGATGAATGGCGATATATGATATACAGTGGGGCAAAAAGTATTTAGTCAGTCACTGACTGTGCAAGTTCTCCTACTTAGAAAAAATGAGAGAAGTCTGTAATTTTCATCATAGGTACACTTCAACTATCAGAGACAAAATTAGAAGAAAAAAATCCAGGAAATCACATTGTAAATAAGTTTGCAAAAAGAATAACAAAAACAGCTAGATTCTTAGGTGAATGTAGAAAACTAAAAACAGGAACATGTCAGCATTGGTCCCTGCCAGGAGTCCAACAGATTCTTAAAGACACTTAGAGAGGTCAAGATCGAGAACTTCAGATCTTTTTACAAGATATTCCAGGAAACAGGAGCGGAGGAGGAGAAGGTCCTTTTGTCTAGTTCAGTCCTCACTGAGGGAACACTGCAGGTAATGATGTCCTGAGAGCGCACGCTGTAGCTGCACTCACACAGAGACATGTAGGAGGAGATGTATGAAGGCAGCAGACCAGGAAGTGATTTAAAGATGAAAATGTACCAGTGAGAGAGTCTGTGTGAAGTTAATGGTGACCAGTTAACCAGTGGATACTGGGTGCAGTGGTGGGTACGGTAGTTACAGCCAGTTATGAATCTTAGTGCACCATGATAGACAGCATCCAACATCTGCAGCATCCAACATCTGCAGCATCCAACATCTGCAGGGTTCTTGTAGGAGTGTTCATGTAAATAATGTCACCGTAATCAATGGAGAGAAGGAAAGTCACAGATACAAGGTGTTTCCTAACATTCAGGGTTAGACAGGATCTGTTTCTGAAAAACAAACCCAGTTTAACTTTATATTTTCTCTGGCAAACTTCAGACGGGCCTGGACATTTACTGGGTTAAGCAGGGGGACACGCCTGCACTTCAGGACTTGAGTCCCTCTCAGCGTAGTGTGTAGCCTTTGTTTCTTTCGTCCCAGCTCTCTGCAGGTCATTCATCAGGTCTCTCCGTGTAGTTTTGGGATTTTAGAAATAGGAATGCTCTCCCATTCATGTCTAATACAGGCTAACTGTTCAATCGTCTTGGGCCTTCTTTGTCGCACCTTCCTCTTTATGATGCGCCAAATGTTCTCTATAGGTGAAAGATCTGGACTGCAGGCTGGCCATTTCAGTACCCGGATCCTTCTACGTAGCCATGATGTTGTGATTGCTGCAGAATGTGGTCTGGCATTATCGTGTTGAAAAATGCAGGGTCTTCCCTGAAAGAGATGACGTCTAGATGGGAGCATATGTTGTTCTAGAACCTGAACATAGTTCTCTGCATTAATGGTGCCTTTCCAGACATGCAAGCTGCCCATGCCACAAGCGCTCATGCAACCCCATACCATCAGTGATGCAGGCTTCTGAACGGAGCGTTGATAACAACTTGGGCTATCCTTGTCCTCTCTGGTCTGGATGACATGGCGTCCCAGTGTTCCATAAAGAACTTCAAATGGTGACTCATCTGACCACAGAACAGTCTTCCATTTTGCCCCACTCCATTTTAAATGACCCCTGGCCCAGTGCAAACGTCTGAGCTTGTGGAGCTCGCTTAGAAATGGCTTCCTCTTTGCACTGTAGAGTTTCAGCTGGCAACGGCGGATGGCACGGTGGATTGTGTTCACTGACAATGCTTTCTGGAAGTATTCCTGAGCCCATTCTGTTATTTCCTTGACAGTGGCATTCCTGTTTGAGGTGCAGTGACGTTTAAGGGCCCGGAGATCACGAGCATCCAGTAGAGTTTTACGGCCTTGGCCCTTACGCACAGCGATTGTTCCAGATTCTCTGAATCTTTTGATGATGTTATCAATCAACCTTTTTTATTTATACAGGTAAATCCCATTGAGCCTCGAGGACTCATTTACAAGAGAGACCTGATTTCAACAATGCACGGTTATGCACGGTTGATGAAGATAACTTAAAAGTCTTTGCTATTTTACGCTGGGTAACACCATTCTGGTATTGCTGCACTATCTTTCTGTGCAACAATGGTGGTATTGGTGATCCTCTTACCATCTTGGCTTCTGAGAGACACTGACACTCTGAGAAGCTCTTTTTATACCCAATCATGTTGTCAATTGACCTAATTAGTGTTAATTGGTCTTCCAGCTGTTCGTTATATGCTCAATTTCCTTTTTCCAGCCACTTATTGCTACTTGTCCCAACTTTTTTGGGATTTGTTGACACTGTGAAATTTTGAATCAACATATTTTTCCTTTAAAATGTTACATTTACTCAGATTAAACTTTTGATCTGTCATCTATGTTATATTACGAATAAAATATTGACATTTGCCATCTCCACATCATTGCATTCAGTTTTTATTCACAATTTGTTTAGTGTTTGTCCAATGTGATTTCCTGAATTATTTTTCTTAATTTTGTCTCATAGTTGAAGTGTACCTATGATGAAAATTACACACCTCTCTCATCTTTCTAAGTAGAAGAACTTGCATATTCAGTGACTAAATACTGTCTTGCCCCACTGTATATATCAATATTTTTTTTTCTTTTCCATAAAGTAATAACACAAATATATTTCTGAGTCGGGCAGCACGGTGGCGCAACAGGTCGAGCTGCTGCCTCTCAGCCAGCAGGTCCTTGGTTCAAATCCCGGTCTGGGGGTCTTTCTGGATGGAGTTTGCATGTTCTCTTTGTGCTGCGTGGGTTTTCTCCAGGTACTCCAGTTTCCTCCCACAGACCAAAAACATGCATGTTAGACTGACTGGTAACTCTAAATTGTTCCTAGGTGAGTGAGAGAATGAATGGTTGTCTCGTTTGTCTCTATGTGTCCCTGTGATGGACTGGAGACCTGTCCAGGTGTCCCTGTGATGGACTGGAGACCTGTCCAGGTGTCCCTGTGATGGACTGGAGACCTGTCAGGGTGTACCCCGTCCCTCACACAGTGATTATTGGTTATGGGCACCGGTGACCCCTGTGACCCAAAAATGGAAGAAGCGGGTAAAAGATGATGGATGGATATTTCTGAGTCAAAGCTTAGTCCCAATTGTCACACAGGCACCTTTATTAACAAACATCTGTAAATGTATAAAATAAAGTTTTTTTCCTGCATAACTAAACCAAAAACACAGCTGTGCGCTTAAAATTTAAACCTAAAACATAGAGAGCAAACATAATGAAAGGCTGACTTGCTCTTTAAAAAGTCTGATTGTGATGAAGTACATTCAGCCTTTACAAAGCCCACGTTGTTGTTTACTGAGCTCCGTTCTGTTTGGTGACCGCTCGTTTCTTTCTGAATTTCATGGTTCCTATGCTCTGGAGCGCACGTGGCTGTTGGGATGCTAGTGAACGCAGCGCTCTGTAACGTGCCGTCTGCGTGGTGGGAGTTTGTTCCCTCCCGACACAAGCTTTGCTGTTCAAAGCTGTTCACTGGTTGCTGCTGTGTTGAAATGCCAGGACAGAGCAAGTGAATCACCTTAAACTGGAAATCTGTTTCTGTGTTCTTTAACGGGAAGTCAACTTCATACCTTGCTGCTCTCTAAGGGGCCGTTGACACGGCACGTATTTTGAGCGAGTCCGCTCTGTCCTCTCTGCGGTTCTGTTGTTCATTTACACGACACCAGTGCCCCCCCTTTGAATCCAGAAGTTTCTCAACCCACCTCTCAGAGTGGAGGTTTTCGGGAGCCCGCCTGCTGATGATGCAAACCTCTCCCGCTGAGGTTTTGTGTTAAACCACATGTGCACACGCACGCACGGACCATCGGCATATTTTTATCAACAACAATGGCGGTGGAGTATAACGTACTGCTTTCTGTGCTACGACTGATGGAATATACACTGCCTGCCCCCCCCCCAAAAAAAGTTGTCTCCTGGATTTAACTAAGCAAATAAATGGATTATTTGTTTATCAACACGGTGGATATGCGCGCAGCCGTAGTGCAGAACGAGTCGGCACCGTTAAAGCAGCTGGCCTGTTGCTGTAGTTATCCAGGTGTATTTTACAGTTGCAACATTAGTTAGTGATGCTCAGTGTCCTTCAACAGTTTATCACCAAGTGATAAATCAGTTCTGCTGCTGAATGAACATCAGTTGATGGGAAACGTCTTAATGACCCCTACGGCTTCCATCCAGGTGAGTGGATAAATGACGAGAACAAAACTTCAGCGGCCCGACATCTGTTGTTACCTGATCGGCACACCAAGTGTGCACGCCAGAGTTTGGAAGATCATCACCTGCTCAAAGTGTGAACGTGCAGAAGTAGAAAGCAAAGTGAAAGAATGGTCCTGTGTGTAAAAACAATTCACAATGACACAAACATTTACAGGAACTGTTCCTGCAAACAGTCAAACTTTTTACTTTGTTCTTCTGATCACTCTGTGCACATTATATAAAAAATGTTTTTTTTTTTGTATTATTGTTATTTATACTACTTGTATACAAAAGACAAATAAAAGGTTTTTGATGTATCCTTGAGTCCTATGTGCAAAAGTAAAAAGAGAGGAAAGAATGTTACTGTGAGCTGTGTACAAAAAGATCAAATCTATTCACTTTGAAACATTTCATTTATTGTAACTTTTTATATTAACATTCAGTTTTAGCTTTTTCATTTAAATCACTGTGTGCACATAAAAAAAAGTTATTTTGTTGTTACTTTTTAATGATATTACTTATGTACAAACAACAAATAAAACGTTTTTGATGTATCCTTAACTCTTGAAAACTTCAACCAGATATTTACAGTTTATTTTCTAGGGACCATACAGTCCCAAATGTTTGTTAACGCTGCA